GGACTTAAGCTCGGTCGAGAAGTTCTGTAGTTCGCTCAATGGAGCTTGCGCGATCACAGTACACATGTCTCCAGGCAGCATCAGTGTGTCTTGAACACGACCACGCTTAGTGGACAGGTCACCCGCGATATCACCCATGCGATCCGAAGGCACAGTCACCTCCAGATGCACGATTGGTTCAAGCAGCACCGGCTTCGCTTTGGACACCGCTTCAATGAACGCCTTCTTCCCGGCCGTGATGAACGCGATTTCTTTCGAGTCCACTGGATGGTGCTTGCCGTCGAAGACCTCGACCTTCACGCCGGACATCGGATACCCCGCGACGGCGCCGTGCTCGAGCGCCATCCGCACACCCTTCTCAATCGCAGGCATGAACTGCCGCGGGATCGATCCGCCAACCGTTGCGTTGACAAACTCGAAACCCTCCTCGTGATCCGCAGGCAGCGGCGATACACGCAGGTGCACCTCGCCGAACTGACCCGAACCGCCGGTCTGCTTCTTGTGCCGATACGACGCCTCCGCGTTGCCCGTAATCGACTCGCGATACGCGACCTTTGGAGTCTCGGTCAGCAGTTCCAAGCCGTACTGATCTTTGAGGCGTTCCAGCACGATCCGTATGTGCAGCTCACCCAATCCACGAAGCACTGTCTGTCCCGTCGCTTGAATGCGATCAAGCTTCAGGCAGGGATCCTCAGCGAGCAGCTTGTGGAGCGCCGCAGAGAACTTGGTCTCGTCCGCGTGGTTCTTGAGCTCGATCGCGAGGCCATAAAGTGGCTTCGGTAGTGGGAGTGGTTTGAGGTGCACCGAATCCAGATCATGCCCCTCATGGAGCACGGCATCGAAGTGCACATCATCAATCTTCCCGATCGCGCCGATATCACCCGGCCCAAGCTCTTCCACCTCGTGCGATTCCTTACCCTGTCGTTTAAGCAGATGACCGATGCGCGTGGGTTTCTTCTGATCGCCGATGATGAGCTCGGACTTTGCTTTGACCGTTCCCTGATGCACGCGGAAAACACCCAGTTTCCCGACGAATGGGTCGGTGGTGCATTTAAACACATGCGCCACGACTGGGGATGTTGGATTCTCGTCGCCGTGGAATGCGACCTCGTCTGCGTCCTCGCTCTCGCGTTTGAGGAAGGGGCGTGGGTTGCCTTCGAGCGGATTAGGGAGCAGCGACGCGAACAAGTGGAGCATCGGGTTCACGCCCGCGCCGGTTTTGGCGCTGCAGAAGCAGATCGGAACAAGGTGCGCCTGGCGCAGTGCTTTCTCGAACACGTCGTGGAGTTCTTTTTTGGAGATGTTGGACTCGTCGCCGTCTTCGAGGTACTTGTCCATGAGATCGTCTTGCATCTCGACGATCTGCTCGATGATCGCTTGGTGAGCGTCCTGTTCCGATGAGAACAGTGTGTCGCCCTCGCCCTCATCGTCAAAGACCGAGATCGTGTCGCTCTTGTCGGGAGTGGGGAGGTTGATGGGAAGGCACTCTCCTCCGAACGCTTCACGGAGCTGCTCGGTGAGCATCTCTAGATCGCACTGCGGATCATCGATCTTGTTGACGATGATCATGCGTGGGAGGTTCCGATCCTTCGCGATCTTCATCATCCGGCGCGTCATCGGCTCGATGCCCTTGTGCGCATCGACCACGACCGCGATGGTCTCGACCGCGGGGAAGACGGAGATCGCGTGACCCGCAAAGTCCGCCAGCCCCGGGGTATCAATCAGATTGACCATGTGTCCCTCATGGTCGAAATGCAGCATCGTGGTCCGGAGTGAGTGCTGATGGTGTTTCTCTTCGTCGGACCAGTCAGAGAAGGTGTTGCCCTCTTCGATCGATCCCATACGCGAAATGGTGCCGGTTGCGAACAGCAAACGCTCAGCGAGCAGAGTCTTGCCGCTCCCGGTCTGTCCTACAAGTGCAATGTTCCGGATATCTTCAGTGGGTCGCGCGTTTGTCACGGCTGGACCGCCTTCCTGAGGTAAGGCGGGATGTCGGCCCCGTACACACACTGCGGGCCGGCAGCCCGCGGGTCATCTTGTCTGCCCCCGATCGGAGGCCAACAACCATCATAGCAAGCACCCGAGAAATTGAAAGACAAAAGCATCCTCTTTCCCGTCGCTTGAATTGCCCCATCCGCTCGTCATTCTGACTCGACCCCCTAAACTTTCATCCCATGACCAACTCCGCTCCCAATCCGACGATCACCCGATTCGCGCCCTCCCCGACAGGGCACCTCCACATCGGCGGCGCCCGCACCGCGCTGCTGTGCTGGGCGTTCGCAAAGAAAAACAACGGCCGATTCCTCCTGCGAATCGAAGACACCGATCAACAACGCTCCTCCGAATCCTCCACCAGAGGCATCCTCGAAGACCTCGCGTGGCTCGGGATCCAATGGGACGACGGACCAGAGCTGGATTACAACGGCTCAACCTTCGGCGGAGACTCCCGCAGCGTCGGGCCGTACTACCAAGCGCAGCGCCTCGACCTCTACAACGACGCGATCAACAAGCTCATCGAAGAAGACAAAGCGTACCCCGCGTTCGAGACTCCCGAAGAACTGGAAGAGAAGCGCAAGGAAGCGATCGCCGCCAAGCAAGGGTACAAGTACGACCGCGCCGCGCTGGACATCTCGCGCGAGGAGCGCATGCAACGACTCGCTGACGGCGAGGCACACGTTGTCCGCTTCCAGATGCCCGACGAAGCGATCACCGTCCACGACGAAATCCTCGGCGAGGTCACCATCAAACCCGATGAGTTCGACGACTTCATCATCCGCAAACGCGACGGATTCCCGACCTACCACCTTGCCGTGACGGTGGACGACGCGATGATGGGGGTGACGCATGTCCTGCGTGGACAGGAGCACCTGATCAACACGCCGCGCCATGTCGCGCTGCAGTCGGCGCTGGGATATCCGCATCCTGTCTATGGGCATATGCCGCTGATCTTCAATCCCGATGGATCGAAGATGTCCAAGCGGGATAAGGCCAAGGCAGCTCGAAAGTATTGTAAAGATAACGGGATTACAGACTGGGCTGAGTCAGGAATGCCAGGCGACGGATTCCGGCTTTGGTTAGAACAACCCAAGCTGGTTGACATGGACCCTGCAACTTTAACTGCATTTGCCAAGGATAAAGGTATCAACCTCCCTGAGATCGATGTCGAGGACTTCCGCCGTGCTGGATACCTTCCCAGCGCCCTCAACAACTATCTTGCACTCCTCGGATGGAACCCAAAGACCAAGAACGAGGACGGGACCGATCTCGAACGTTTCGATATGGACTACCTCGCGTCGCACTTCGCGATGTCGGGGATGGGCAAGGGACAATCCAAGTTCGATCGCGTCAAGCTCCTGAGCTTCAACGCCGACACCATCGCGGCCCTCTCCGACGTGGACTTCGCAAAACACTGGCACCAATGGGCGACCACCTACGACCCCTCGCTCGCGACCCGATTCAGCGAGTCGGACATGGTCGAGCTCGCGCCTGCGGTCAAAACACGGAGCAAAACCCTCGCCGACGGCAAGGGCGTCATCGGATTCGCGTTCATCGACGACGACGCGATCGAGTTCGACGGCAAAGCGGTCCACAAAGCACTCATCAAAGGCGACCATAAGGGACTCGAACTCCTCAAAGCATTCCGCGATGAGCTGAGCACATTCGATGACTTCTCCGCCTCGTCCATCGAAGCGAAGGTCAGCAGCTTCGCAGAGTCCAAAGAAGTGGGTATGGGCAAGATCGCGCAGCCCCTCCGCGTCGCCGTGACGGGTTCGGGGGTCTCGCCCTCGCTCGGACAGACCCTCGCGATTTTGGGCAAGGACTCCGTGCTCAACCGCATCGACCGCTGCATCGAGCACGCATCCGCTGAATAGCTCTCAATCTCGTTGGTCGATGCCCAGAGCGTGCATCACGCTGGTGCTTCCCATCGAACTCGCAGGTATGCAAGCATTCGATTCATCGTGCCGTCCTCAAATTCCGCTTACGATCTCGTACTGGGATCGGATCTGTCCGCTTGACAAGATCCCACACATGCAACGGGTCTGATATCCTGCGATTGTGTAGCGGAGAATGAATCAATGACTGATCGACCAATCATCCTCGCAGGCGGCACCGGATTCCTCGGCATGAACCTCGCCCGCGCCCTGGTCGCTCAAGATCGCGCTGTCGTCATCCTCTCGCGCTCTCAGCCCGAATCGGGGCCGTGGACATGGGCACAGTGGGACGGCCAATCCCAATCCGACTGGTCAAAGCACATCGACGGCGCCCAAGCGATCGTCAACTTCTCTGGGAAGTCCATCGACTGCTATCCGAATGACGACAACCGAAAGCTGATACTCAGCTCCCGCGTCGACCCGATCAGCGCTCTGGGTGAAGCGATCAACAGCGCCCCGAATCCGCCATCGACCTGGGTCCAGCTCAGCGCCGTCGGGATCTACGGCAACACCACCAACCAATGCACTGAATCTACTCCCCCCGGCGAGGGGTTCCTTCCAGATACATGCATCCAGTGGGAAGCCGCGTTCAATGAGTCCTGTCCTGACTCTGTGCGGGGTGTTTCGATCCGTTCCGGAGTTGTGCTCGGAAGGAACGACGGCGCTTTCCCGCTGCTCCGCAAGCTCGCGAAGTTTGGATTCGGAGGAGCCGCGGGCAACGGCAAGCAAGGCATGTCATGGATCCACGAGGACGACATGACGAGCATCCTTCTGCGAGCGATCGACGACGACTCCATGCAAGGCGCCTACAACGCGTGCGCCCCCAATCCCCAATCCAATCGCGATTTCATGAAGACGCTCCGCAAAGCTGTAGGGATGCCCTTCGGACCACCCGCGCCCGCGTTCGCCGTGCGTCTAGGTGCCCTCTTTGTGCTCAAGACCAACCCCGATCTGGTCCTCGAAGGGCAATACGCGATCCCAGAGCGAATAAACCAAGCGGGATTCGAGTTTGCCTATCCCCAACTCGAAGACGCGCTTCGAGATTTGTGCAAGTGAGGATCAAACCCGATGACCAGTCCAGACTCAGTGTTGCTCTCCCCGATTGACTCGTACGCCAACCGTGTATGGATGGCGCCGCTCACACGTTCGCGTTCCTCTATGCCGGGCAATATCCCCAACGAACTCATGGCGACCTACTACGAGCAGCGCGCCAGCAGCGGACTCATCATCGCTGAAGCAACCCCGATCTCCCCGATGGCGCACGGCTACTACGCGACCCCCGGCATCCACAGCGACGAACAGGTCGCGGGATGGAAGCTTGTCACCGATCGAGTGCACGCCAAAGGCGGCAAAATCTTCCTCCAGCTCTGGCACGTCGGACGCGTCTCCCACAGCGCGCTGCTCCCTGACAACCAACAGCCCGTCAGCTCGACCGATGTGATCTCGCAGTCCAAGACCTACATCGACCATTCGATGGAGCGCCACGACAACACCCCGCCGCGAGCTCTGGAGACCGACGAGATCCCTGGGATCGTGCAAGAGTTTGTCGATGCGACCCACCGCGCCAAAGCCGCGGGATTCGACGGCGTCGAGATCCACGGCGCCAACTCCTACCTCCTCGATCAGTTCACCCGCGACGGCGTCAACAACCGCACCGACCAATACGGCGGATCGCTCGAAAACCGTCTCCGCTTCCCGCTCATGGTTGCCCAAGCCGTGGTCGAAGCGTGGGACGACCCATCGGGAGTGGGGTATCGGATCTCGCCGCTGAGTGAGCACAAAGATGTCCGCGACTCTGATCCCGAAGCGACCTTCTCCGCGCTGGCGCAAGGATTGGGTGAGCTCAAGCTCGAGTATCTTCATGCTGTGGAGACCTGGGACCGATCCGAGCTCGATCCGCGCGTCGAGCAGGTCATCCCGGCAATTGTCAAGTCCTTCAAAGACGCCGGAGGGAAGCTCTACATCGGGAACGGCGACTACTCCCCAGAGCAAGCCGAATCCGCGATCAACTCAGGTTGGTGCGACGCCGTCGCGTTTGGTCGTCCCTGGATCCCCAACCCCGACCTCCCGGCACGCATCGCAAACGACGGCCCGTACCGAACCCCGACCCCAGAGACCTTCTACGGCGGAGGTCCGGAGGGATACACCGAGTACGCGCCGCTCGAAGAAGCGTCCACAAACTGAGCAATTCCGCGGAATCCCCGGCTTACACTCTTGGGTGCCTGCAGACGCAGGACCGGAGCAAACGCCATGACCGAAGCCGTTGAACAGCGACATTTCATCCAGCAGATTATCGACTCGGACATCGAGTCAGGGAAGTGGGGGATGCCCGGAGACCGCTCCGTCGTCACGACCCGATTCCCTCCCGAACCCAACGGGTATCTGCACATCGGACACGCGAAAGCGATTTTCATCTGCCACGGATTGGCACGTGAGTTTGGTGGCCGATTCAATCTCCGCTTCGATGACACGAACCCCGCTGCTGAGGAAGCTGAGTTTGTTGAATCCATCACACACGATATCCATTGGCTCGGTGCCCACTGGGACGGCGATGTGCTGTTTGCTTCTGACTACTTCGACAAGATGCACGGCTGGGCCGTGGACCTGATCAACAAAGGACTCGCGTATGTCGACGAGTCCACTCCGGAACAGATCCGCGAGATGCGTGGCTCGACCGAGGTCCCAGGAACCAACTCACCGTACCGCGATCGTCCGATCAGCGAATCGCTCGACCTCTTCGACCAGATGACTCACGGCAAGATCGAGAATGGGAAGATGGTCCTGCGCGCCAAGATCGACATGACGCACTCAAACATGAACATGCGCGATCCAGTGATGTACCGCGTCGTCAACACGCCGCACCATCGCACAGGGGATAAGTGGCACATCTACCCAATGTACGACTGGGCGCACGGCTTGGAAGACTCCATCGAAGGCGTCACGCATTCATTGTGCACACTCGAGTTCGAGGACCATCGCCCGCTCTACAACTGGTTCATCGACGCGATCAACAAAGACCGAGACAACCCGATCCATCACCCTCAGCAGATCGAGTTTTCCAGACTCGCGATCAGCTACACCAATATGTCCAAGCGCTACATGCGCCAGGTCGTCGAAGAGAACATCGTCATGGGATGGGACGATCCGCGCATGATCACCCTTGCGGGATTCCGCCGTCGTGGATTCACCCCCGAATCCATCCACGCGTTCGTGACAGGCGTCGGCGTGACCAAGTTCAACGCGATGATGGACATGGGACGACTTGAGGGCGCCCTCCGTGACGATCTCAACAAACGCGCCCCGCGCCGCATGGCCGTGCTTGATCCGATCAAGCTGGTCATCACCAACTGGGGTGACGGCGGAGATGAATCACGCGTCGAGATGATGGACGTCATCAACAACCCTGAGGACGACTTTGCAGGAACTCGCCAAGTCCCGTTCGGGAAAGAGCTCTGGATCGAGCGTGAGGACTTCATGATCGATCCTCCCAAGAAGTTCTTCCGTTTGGGACCAGGTCGCGAGGTCCGTCTCCGCTGCGGATACTGGGTCAAGTGCCACGACTACACGCAGGACAGCGAAGGCAACATCACCGAGATCCACTGCACCTACGACCCAAACACGCGAGGCGGGAACAACCCGCCCGCAGACGAAGAGGGCAATGTCCGCAAAGTCAAAGGCACGCTCCACTGGGTCTACGCCGGGGATTGCGTTGATGCGGAGATTCGTCTCTTCGATCGATTGTACAAAGCCGAGAAGCCGGGCAAAGCGACGGGCAACCACCTCGACGATCTCAACGAGCACTCGCTGGAGATCAGTAACCGCGCCAAGGTCGAGCGATCACTGCTCAATAAAACACCCGACGAGCCCGAGTGGAGCGACGGCATCCGTCGCTTCCAGTTCGAACGCACCGGGTATTTCTGCATCGACCGCGAGTCCAGCGACGACAAGCTCGTCTTCAACCGGACCGCGACCCTGCGGGATTCATGGGCAAAGCAGCGCTAAGCGAATCTACGATTAGCCGACATCCGTCCATCGCTCGCGAGGGAGCGATTCGTACATGATGTTGACGATCGACCATTCCCCATTCACGCGCATGAGCTGGAAGTAATCGAACCATACCGAGCCGGTCATCTTCGCGATCGCGACATTGTCGCGGATCTCGTAGACCTCGACTTCACAGCGTGCCGTCTCTGGATCAAACCCCCAGTGCTTGTTGAAGGTCTCTCCGAGGATCTCGATCTCTTCCCAAGTGATGAGCTTGAAGAACTCGAAGTCCACATTGTCAGGTTTCTCAACCGTGCGCTTTGAGAGTGTCGGATGGCAGGTGTCCTGTACTTTCTTCCCATCGATCTCATAGAACCCAATGCAATAGTCGCGGACGATCTTCTCGATTGTTTTCATGTCTTTCGTGGATTTCCCAGGCGCTCTGGCACCCGCTTCATCAAGGATGATCACTGCGGAATCCGCGATGAGCCAGCGTCCCTCGAAGTGCACGAGGTGCATGAAGTCCACCACATCTTCCATGATCACTCGAGCCGCGGCGGTCTGCTGCTCGATGTCAAAGACCTCGATCTCGCATCGCCCTTCTTTGGGGGAGTCAATCCTGTTTTGGTTGAGTTCAGTGCCGTAGTACTGGAGCTGGTCGTGCGAGTAGGTTCGCACCCATTCCTGGCTGGGTTGTCCCCAGTAGGTATCGAAAACCACGCGCCGAGCGAGATCGTGATGCGCCCGCGAGCGGACCGTTTCTTCGTCCCCAGCGTACTTCGCGAAGACATACTCCTGAATCGCCGAGTACACCGCGTCCTCGTTGACAGGTTCAGCTTCGAAACTCAGCGTTTCGACCAACTCAGTCTCACTCTCCGCAGCGTATGTCAGCGATGCAGAGCCAACAGCCAATGCGATAACAGCCGGAACGACCGGCGACAGTCCAAACACTTTCTTCATTGTTTTGTCCTCCTGTGTGTGCGACATTTGTACTGCCGTCAATACCACAGGTTGCAGCGAACCTATACTTGCCCATGAGTTTGATTGTCACTGGAACCATCGGGATCGACACCGTCGAAACACCAGAAGCCGGACGCCGCGAGGAACTCCTCGGCGGCTCCGCGGTGTACTTCTGTGCCGCATCGTCTTTCTACACCAAGCCCCGTCTCGTTGCTGTCGTCGGAGACGATTTCCCCGAGCCCTTCATGGACACGCTCAAGTCCTTCGATGCCGTGGACCTGACAGGTCTCGAAGTCCGCAAGGGGTCCAAGACCTTCCGCTGGGGTGGCAAGTACCACGACGACATGGACCACCGCGACACGCTGTTCACCGAACTCGGCGTCCTCGAAGAAGCACCGCCGGTCGTCCCCGAGTCATTCAAAGACTCGAAAGTCGTCTTCCTCGCAAACTCCCATCCGATGGTCCAGCTCGGGATGCTCGAGCAGCTCGATAGCCTCGACCTCTCCGTCGTGGACACGATGGACCTCTGGATCGACATCGCCAAACCCGAACTCACCAACCTGCTCGGGAAGGTCGATGGACTCGTGCTCAACTTCGACGAAGCGGAGCAGTACACCGGACACCGCAACCCAGTCGCGGCAGGCAAGCACCTGCTCGAACTCGGACCACGCTTCGTCGTGATCAAGAAAGGCGAGCACGGCTGCATCCTCGTCCACCGCGACGGACTCTGCGCCCTCCCAGCGTACCCAACCGAGCACGTCGTCGATCCAACAGGAGCCGGTGATTCTTTCGCCGGCGGATTGATGGGACGCCTCGCATCCCGAGGCGGACACGACCTCGGATCATTCGAATCCGTCCGCGACGCGCTCGCGCACGGCACCATCATCGCGTCCTTCAACGTCGAGTCCTTCTCGCTCGAACGCATGCAGTCGATCACCCGCAAGGATGTCCACGACCGCTACGACCAGTACGCCGCGATGATGCGATTCAGTGAATAAGTCCGTCCGATAGAGGGTTCTGAGTGATACATGAGAGGACCCCGATGACAAATGATTCTTCCTATCTCGATCCATACCGCGACGCCGTCGCGGATATGGGCCCCGGATTCGAGGCCCAGCTCTGGCTCTCCAAAGAAGCCCAAGCGACCCGCTTCTCCGTGATCGCAGACGCACTCGGAAACGATTCAAGCATCATCGCCGACCTCGGATGCGGACAGGGAGACCTGCTCGTGTACCTGCACGAGCACAACGCGATCCCCAAGCACTTCATCGGCGTCGAAGGCGTCGACGAGATGACCCACCACGCGCAGCAGCGGATCGATCAGCTCGGCATCAACAACGCCGTCTTTCAGACACACGATTTTGTCGCAGACACCAAGCTCCCATCCCAGCTTGTGCAAGACGCGAAGGTCGATACCTTCATCTTCTCCGGATCACTCAACACGCTGCAGATGCAGCAAGCCCAAGCCGTGCTCGCGCGATTCTTCAACGCGCTCAAGGACGCGGGACGAGGAAAGCTCGTCTTCAACTTCCTCTCGAACCGTCACGACAAGGACCGCACCCCCGCACAGCCACCCGCCGTGCGTTTCGATCCCCCATCAATGCTCGATTGGGCGCTCGAGCAGACCCCGCTCGTCACGCTCCGCCATGAGTACCTCAGGGGCCACGATGTGACGATCACAATGAATGTTGGCTAAACGGATCAGCAATCGCCGATCCGTATTGCATGAATATATCAATCTCCACCGCGGCCGCGCTTTCTGTCGGAATGTTCATCTCTGCTGCTCCCGCCGGGATGGGTCAACATCCCCGGGTTGAGGTGATTGAGTCTCCTCAAGATCTCACACTCTTTAATGCAGAGTTTTCGAGCGACGGGTCAACTGTTGCGATCACCGGCGAGTGGTCGCTTGCGTGGGATATCTATATTCATCGTGATAACCAGTGGAAGCTGGTGAGCCGATCGGTCGATGAGGTAGCGCCGGGTCCAATTGTCTTTGGTTTGTCAGACGACGGATCATCAGTAGTTATATCTGACTGGTCGTACACAAGCATTTACCAAGATGGTACCACAACATACTTGCCAAAGTGGTGGCGTGAGAGCGGTGGAGTCTCTGGACAGGGACGCACCTTCTTTTCAGGCGCCATATCTGGGGACGGCTCGGTGGTGGGGTACTCGCCTCAACCATATGACACGGAAGACAACCAGCCTGCGCTGATCTGGAATGGTGAGAGAGAACCTGAAATCATTCTCGCTGATCCAAATGAAGATGGTGTCAACTATGAGATCAACTCCCTCAGTTTCGATGGTTCGGTTGCAGCGATCAATGCTCGATACCAAAGCCAGCACAACAACATCCGAAGTCTCGGTTCGGCACGCGAAGCCTGGGTCGTCGATCAAGTTGAAATCATCATGATCCCGCCAATCGACACCGACTACGAAACACTCATGAGTGCGACGGAGATTTCCGGGAATGGACAAGCCGTGATCGGTTCCGCATACAGCGTATGGCGGGACGGGTTCGGAGAAGACATCCCGTTCAGCACCGAATCAAGACGGGATATCAACTATGGACCATCACTCGCATGGTTCTGGTCTCGCGATACAGGCACAGTCGAGATCCAGAATCCAGACCGATTCGACAGTATCAGTGTCTGGGATATCACCGATGATGCGAGCACCGTGCTCGGCATCGGCAGCTCAGGTGATGGCGAAGCATTTGAGCATTTCCTCTGGTACAGCGCGGACAATCAGTTTCTCATGATCGACGATCTCTTCAGCAGTCTTGGCATCGTGATCGATGCCGACTCGTACTACTTCGCGCAGATCTCAGGCGACGGCTCAAAGCTCATGGGAGTTCTCAATCGAGACGGAAAGAGCTCGGTGTTGATCGTCACGATCCCCGTTCGTTAATCCCGCCGTGAGTCTCAGATCCGCTGTTGATCGACAACCGTGCGATCGGTCACATGCTCGCCCGTGTGCTTGGTCTGCGCTGGTTCAAAGAGCAAGACCGATGTCCCCGGCGCTGCGACCGGATTATGCTCGACTCCTCGCGGGACGATGTACATCTCGCCGGGATTGAGCGTGACCTCACGATCGCGCATCTGCAGCGTCAGCGATCCCTCAAGCACCAGAAACAGCTCGTCCTCATCCGCGTGCGCGTGCCACATCAGCTCGCCTTCGAGTTTCGCGAGCTTGACCTGTTGCCCGTTGAGCTCGCCGATGATCTTGGGGGTCCACGTCTCGCTGAACAACCCCAGCTTCTCTTTGAGATTCACGACCTGATCACTCATGGTTTTACTCTTCCCAGATGTCCATGAACCGGTCCGAGCCCTGGTTGCGGATCGAGTTGTCTTCGAGGACTTCCTCAGTCGATTCAATCAGTTCCTCGGCATCAAAGATCAGGTTCTCCTGACTGCGATCAAAGAACTTGAAGATCAGCGTGTCCTCGTCGTTGTCACGCAGCAGCTCAACGAGGTGTGAGAGAGATTTGATCTCCTCGCCGTTGAGGCTCTTGAGTGTTGGATTACCGTAGACCTCGTAGCCCTTGGTGACCGAGTGGGGGAGGAAGGTTGCCGCGAGGACCACATACTCCTGCCCCTCAAACTCTCGCTCGTCGTTGATGTGCAATCCGACAGGAGAGCCGTCGACGATGCCGTATCCGAGATAGAGGTTGTAGAAATGCTCGCGTCGGACAGGTGTGAAGATCATCGGGCCACAGATGAAGTACTCCGGATAATCATTCCCGATATACGGCACAAGCTCGTCCCGCTCGTTGGTCACATGCAGATCAATCTCCATCGACTCCCCACCGCGGATAATCGTCACCGGAATCGTCCCTTCGCTGACAAGCTCGCGGATGAAGTAGCGCCAGTGCAGGCGCAAGCCGTCATGACTGGTCACCATCCCCGCGTTATCAATGTCGTACTCCCCGATCTTGTCGAGCAGGTCCCACTCCAGCATCGGAGACTCGGACTCAGACTTGGGACGCGTGAACACAATCCCAGTCTGCTCTCGGCTCAGTCCCAAGAACGAACGCAGCGCATCATTTTCGCACGTCTGGAAACGCGCGTCGTACAACCGCTCCGGTCCGTCGTAGCTGCCGTCCTCGATGTCCTTGAGGAAGATGTGGACCTCTTCTGCCGGGATCACATACCCGATGTTCTCCGCGTACTCGACGCCGCTGAAGACCACGCCGCAGACCTTGCCGTCAAGAATCACAGGCCCACCCGAGTTTCCATGATTGAGCGCCGCGTCCACCTGCACGCGGAGCCCCTGCGCTTCCATGTTGTAATCCGTGTACTCGATCCGCGAGACGACGCCCTCAGTAATCGAGACCTGCTCGCCCCCCATCGGATACCCGATCGCTTGGACAGTCGATCCGATCGAAGGAAGCGTGTCGCTGAGCTCAAGCACAGGATGCGCCGAGTGGAACTCTTCGCGTTCGGAGTCCTTCTTGATCTCGATGACCGCGAGGTCCATCTGCTGCGAGATCCCGATGACCTCCGCGCGGAGCTTGTCCGCGCTGTTGGGGGGCTGCACATAGATCCGCGTCGCTTGCTCAACAACATGCGCATTGGTGAGGATCCGATTGCCCTCGATCACAAACCCAGTCCCCGACAGCTCCTGAGGCGCTTGCTTGGTCCATGGACGAGCAAAGTCCGGACCGCGATATGTTGAGAAAATCTTGACCACTGATTCGCGAACAGCGGTTGAATCCTGCGACCCAATCGCTATGAAACTGCTCGCCATCAATATCCCTACCATCAACATCATTCGCATCGCTATCTCCTTGAACTCACAGTGCATCATCAAGAGATGCTACAGCGATCATAGTGCCTCCGTTTCAGTCCTTCTGAGATTGCTACCATCAGTGCAATGACCACCACGCTCAACATCCAAGCCCCAAAGGACTTCCATCTCGCAAGAGATGTTTGTTCCTACGGCTACTTCCTGCTCGCACCCAATCACTGGGATGTCGACAAACAACACATGCTCCGCGTGCTCGAGTTCGAAGCCGGACCATCATTGTGTGTCATCGATCAGCCGAAAGATCGTGTTCGTGCGCGTTTCGACCGATCGCTGAATCGATCCGAACAATCGAGCGCTAAAAAGCAAATCACGCGGATGCTCTGCTTGGACTCGCCGCACGAAGAGATCAAAGCGTTCCACAAGGTCGATCCACGATGGAAGATATCTGGCGCTGGAAGACTCTTCCGCTCCCCGACGCTCTTTGAGGATGTCATCAAAACCGTCACGAGCTGCAACGTGACCTGGCCGAGCACCGTCAACATGAACCGCCGACTCTGCGAAGTCTGCGGCCGAAAGTCACCCTCCGGAGTCCCGTCCTTCCCGACAGCAAAAAAACTCGCACGCACACGCGTCGGTACGCTCCGTGGACGCTGCCGAGTCGGATACCGCGATCAACGCATCATCGACCTCGCCAAACTCTTCAACAAAGGTCAGATCGACGAGCATTGGCTCGAGAACACCGCGACCGACGACGAGGTCTTCAAGTTCCTCATCTCACTCCCAGGGATCGGTCCATACGCCGCGGGAAACATCATGCAGTTGATGGGGCGCTACTCACGCCTCGCGCTGGACACCGAATCCATCCGACACGCAAAGAGCGTGCTGGGCATGTCGGGAACGGACAACCAACTCATGAAGCGCCTCAAAGCGCACTACGAACCATTCGGGGATCACAAGTTCCGTTCCTACTGGTTCGAGCTCTGGGAGTTCTATCAATCCAAAGCGGGACCCGCGACCACCTGGCGCCGCGACGCGACCGCGACTATGTTTACTTCCGCGAATCTGAGCAAATGAGAGTTGAATAAAAAAACGCCGGCGAATCACGAGGAATCGCCGGCGCATATATGAACTGCGCCATCTCCAGAGTGGCGCAGAGCAGATGCCCCAAAGTCCGTTTCTGTTTATCAGGGATGATGTTCCCTGTGCAAAGGACAACCTACTACAGATTCACTCAATTGCAAAGAGAATTCTTCAAGAATGCGCGTGGTTAAGCGATGCATTGAGACCGCTGAGGTCTTGTAACGCGTGCACTCCCCAGAATCCCGCACGCAGCGCCTCGATCGCATGCACCGCTTGCCCCGCGGCGGTCGCCGTCGTGATCATCGGGATCCCCAATCGCACAGCCGTCGCACGGATGCGTCCCTCATCCGTTTGCCATCCTGTGCGTGTTGGTGTGTTGATGACCAGTTGGATCTCGCCGTTCTGCATGAGGTCGATGACATTGGGACGTGCGCCCGCTTGGATTTTCTGCAAGACTTTCGGACGCAGTCCGTGCCGCGCCAGTTCATCCGCGGTGCCTTGTGTAGTAAACACCGTGAACCCCATCGCCATCAGCGAACGCACGATCGGGATCATCGCGGGTTTATCTTCCTGTCGAACAGACACAAACACGCCGCCGTCTTTGGGGAGTGAAATCCCGGCAGACTCGATCGCCTTGAGATACGCGTTGGGGAGCGACACATCGACACCCATGACTTCGCCCGTCGATCGCATCTCAGGTCCGAGCACAAAGTCCACGCCTGGGAACTTGCGGAACGGGAACACTGGTGCTTTCACTGTGAAGTACCCAGCATCTGGGATCTCTTTCGTTCCTTGCTCGATCAGTGAGACTCCCATCATCGCCTTCGCCGCGACCGATGCCCACGCAACACCCTTGGACTTCCCTGCATACGGCACCGTCCGCGACGCACGCGGATTGACCTCGATGATGTACACCTCGTCGTCCTTGATCGCCATCTGTACATTCATGAGACCGCAGACCTTGAGCTCCTTCGCGAGCTTACGAGCGGTGTCCTTCACTTGCTCAAGTACCACTGGTCGGATCGTCGTCGTCGGGATCATGCAGGTCGAATCCCCAGAGTGCACACCCGCTTGCTCGATGTGCTCCATGACCGCCGCGACGAACGCCTCGCCCGTACCATCTCGGAAGTCCGCGACGACATCGACGTCCAGCTCCGTCGCGCTGCTCAGGAACTGATCGATCAGGATCGGCGCATCATCGAGCCCCGACACATCTACGGCTGTCAGCATGTAGTGCCTCAGCGCCGACTCATCAGAACAGATCTCCATCCCGCGACCACCAAGCACATAACTCGGACGCACAAGCACCGGATACCCGATCCGACCCGCGATCTCGATCGCTTCATCGATCGAACGCGCGATCCCTGATCCAGGACGACGAAGATCCAGCTTGGTCAGCAACTGATCAAACCGGTCACGATCCTCCGCTCGATCAATCGCTTCCAGCGCCGTTCCAAGCATCGGTACACCCGCAAGGTCCAGACCATGCGCCAGATTCAACGGCGTCTGTCCGCCGTATTGAACCACAGTTCCCTTGAGATTCTGCGACAGCTTCTCCGTCACATTGAGCACATCCTCAAGCGTCAACGGCTCAAAGAACAAGAGGTCGCTCGTGTCGTAATCCGTCGAGACTGTCTCAGGATTTGAGTTGATCATCACCGCGTCGTATCCAAGTTGTTGTGCGGATTGTGCCGCGTGGACGCAGCAGTAATCGAACTCGATTCCCTGGCCAATGCGGTTTGGACCGCCGCCGAGGATGATGATCTTTTGTTTCGGATCAATCTCCGCGAGCAACCGATCCCGCAGCTCACATTGCGCAGGGACTTCCTGCACCGACCAATCCTCACCAACCTTGCGAGTTCCTCGCTGATAGGTGGAGTAGTAGTAGGGGGTGATCGCTTCAAACTCAGCAGCGCAGGTGTCCACGCACTTGAACACCGCCTCGACTCCCAGCGACTTGCGATGGTTGCGGACCTTGAGGATCGTCTCCGAACTGATATTTCCGAGATACAGATGCGCCAGCTGCGCATCGGAATATCCGAGTTCTTTCGCTCGCTGCATCAGGTCGCGATCGACATGAGCGAGTTCCTTCGCTTCAACAAGCCGATCCTCGAACTGGACGAGTTCTTGGAACTGATAGAGGAAGAACTTGTCAATCCGCGTGAGTTCATAGATCCGATCGATGCTCCATCCCATCTTCATCGCATAGCGAATGAAGTAGAAACGCCCTTGGGAAGGGACCGACAGCTTGCGCGTCAGTGTGTCTTCATGGATCGGCCATTCAACTTCGCTTCCGTCGGGGAGCTTCCCATCCACCGAGCGTTCAGAAGCGAGCCATTTGTCGTTCTTGTCAAGTCCGAGCCCGAAGCGTTTGACCTCCATCGAGCGGATCACTTTTTGCAGCGACTCTTTGAAGGTGCGTCCGATCGCCATCGCTTCGCCGACCGATTTCATCTGCGTCGTCAGCGTTTCATCCGCTTCCGGGAACTTCTCGAAGGTCCAGCGTGGCATCTTCGTCACGACATAATCAATCGTCGGCTCAAAGCACGCGCTCGTCGTCCCAGTGATGTCGTTGCGGAGCTCATCGAGCGTGTATCCCACCGCGAGCTTCGCCGCGATCTTCGCGATCGGGAATCCCGTCGCTTTCGATGCAAGCGCCGACGAACGCGAGACACGCGGATTCATTTCGATCACCACAAACTCGAACGACGGTTCCGATCCATCCGAGGTCGGCTCCGGATTCGGATTGACCGCAAACTGCACATTCGATCCGCCAGTCTCCACCCCGACCGCACGCATCACCGCCAGCGATGCGTCACGCAGGACCTGGTATTCCTTATCTGTCAGAGTCAGCGACGGCGCGACGGTGACAGAATCCCCAGTGTGCACACCCATCGCGTCGATGTTCTCGATCGAGCACACGACGACGCAGTTGTCCTTCTTGTCGCGCACGACCTCGAGTTCGTATTCCTTCCATCCGATGAGCGACTTGTCGATCTGGATCTGTCCGATCATCGACGCGTTGATGCCACGCGTGACAAGTTCCTCGAACTCGGCGCGGTTGTACGCGATCCCACCTCCCCATCCGCCGAGCGTGAACGCCGGACGCACAATCGCGGGAAGACCGATCTCCTCAGCAAACCCAAGCGCCTCCTGCAGCGACTCAACGGTTTTCGACTCCGGAGTCGCCAGACCGATCTCGTCACAGATGTCGTTGAACACCTGACGATCCTCGGCGCGATGGATGATCTTCCGATCCGCGCCGATCATCTCGATCCCGAACTCTTCAAAGATCCCTTGATCACTCATCTCGCACGCGCAGTTGAGTGCCGTCTGCCCCCCCAGCGTCGGGAGCACCGCATCGATCGGGGTCCCAAGCTCGATTTCCTTCTCGATGATCTTCCGGACCGATTCAGGAGTAATCGGCTCGATGTATGTCCGATCCGCGAACGCGGGATCCGTCATAATCGTCGCTGGATTCGAGTTGACCAGAACAACCCGATACCCCTCGTCTTTCAGCGATTTACACGCCTGTGTCCCTGAATAATCAAACTCACATCCCTGCCCAATGACAATGGGTCCCGATCCGATCAGCAGAATGGTCTGCAGGTCATCGCGTCGCGGCATTCAGTGATTCCTGTGGTTTGGGATTCATGAAGAAGGTCCGGAAATATCAAGCAAGAGGCGCAAACTGGACAAGTGTAGCCCTGAACCTACTCCAAGGTTTGATCAAAGAGATAACGATCATCCGCGTCCGATTCGATGAACCTGAGCCACTGACCCTCGTAAGATCAATCACCGGGCCTGAAGGTTCGATATCCCTGATCCGGTGCACCATTCGCACCCTCTGGAGAAATGCCTATGTGTGGCATCGTTGCTTACATCGGAAACAAACCCGCTCAGCCCCTCCTTATCGAAGGTCTCAAGAGACTCGAATATCGCGGATACGACTCCGCCGGACTCGCCGCGATCAACGGCGAGGGCCTCCAGATCGCCAAAGCCGTCGGACGCGTCGCGAACCTCGAATCCGAACTCGAAACCATCGGCGGGATCCACGGCTCCATCGGGATCGCGCACACAAGATGGGCAACCCACGGCGGAGTGACCAAAGAAAACGCACACCCACACCGCGACCACGATCACGGCATCGCACTGATCCACAACGGGATCATCGAGAACTATGCCTCGCTCCGAAAGCTCCTCGAAGAGAAGGGACATCGTTTCGACACCGAGACCGATACCGAAGTCCTCGGGATGCTTATCTCCCACCTCTATGATCCAGACAACGGGGTCGATCTGGAGAAAGCGGTCCAAGCCGCTTTGCGAGAAGTCCGCGGCGCCTACGCGATCGCTGTGATCTGTGAGAAAGAACCCGATGTCATGGTCTGCGCGAGAAAGGGATCGCCTCTGCTCGTCGGGATCGGATCGGGAGAGTACATCGTCGCGTCCGATCCATCCGCGATCATCGCGCACGCATCCCAAGCGATCACACTCGATGACTACTCCGTCGCTCGTCTGACGCGCGATGGATTCCGCACAACAACCGTGGACAATGTCGAGCTCTCCCCAAAGGTCATGCAGCTGGAGATGGATCTCGAAGAGATCGAACTCGGATCATTCGAACACTACATGCTCAAAGAGATCTATGAGCAACCCGAAGCGCTCCGCCGATGCTTGCGTGGACGCCTGGACGAGAATGAGGGGAAAGTCGTCCTCGGCGGTCTCAACGCGTACGCGCAGGAACTCGTCAAATCCCGACGAGTCATCCTCACCGCACAAGGCACGGCACTCCACTCCGCGATGATCGGAGAATACCTCCTCGAAGACCTCGCGAAGATTCCTGCAGAGTGCGAATACGCGAGTGAGTTCCGTTATCGCAACCCACTCATCGAGGACCGCTCCGTGGTCGTCGCAGTGTCCCAGTCCGGAGAAACCGCCGACACGCTCGCGGCTCTCCACGAAGCGAAAGATCGCGGTGCGCTGTCTCTCGGCGTCATCAATGTCGTCGGATCCACGATCCCACGCGAAACTGACGCAGGGGTTTATCTCCGAGTCGGACCAGAGATCGGGGTCGCGTCCACCAAAGCATTCACAGGACAAGTCGCTGTCCTCACGATGATCTCCCTTTTCATGGCGCGCCGCCGCATGATGTCCCCAGAAGCCTCCGCGCGACTCATGGCGGAGCTCAAGCGCGTCCCCGACATGATCGAGCAGGTCCTCACGACCGACCAACGCATCGCAGAGATCACCGCCAAGTATGTCAATCGAGATAACTGGTTGTTCCTCGGACGCGGATACAACTACCCAACCGCAATGGAAGGGGCGCTCAAGCTTAAGGAAATCAGTTACATCCACGCCGAGGGCATGCCCGCCGCAGAAATGAAGCACGGCCCGATCGCATTGATCGACGAAGGCATGCCCGTCGTCTTCATCGCCAACCAAGGGAACCAGTACGACAAGGTCCTGAGCAACATCGAAGAAGTCCGTGCAAGAGGTGGTCATGTCATCGCCGTCGCAACCGAAGGCGACAAACAGATCGAATCGCTTGCCGAGGATGTCCTCTATGTCCCAGCGGTTGAGGAGTGCCTGAGCCCGATGGTGACTGTTGTTCCGCTCCAGCTGCTTGCGTACCACGCCGCGGTCCTGAGAGGGCACGATGTCGATAAGCCGAGGAACCTTGCGAAGTCTGTGACGGTGGAGTGAGTCGTTGGAACAAAGCGATCCTCATGCGCACGGTGATGTACTTTCAGGCAAGCAACTGCGACAACTGTATCGGCACACATTTCTGACCCGCTGGTCTGATCGGGTTATCCGTTGGTCTCGTCTGTCTCTGCTGGCCATTCCAGCGGTATTTCTTGCCTGTGTTGTCTATAGCTTGGTTCTCGATGCAGATCTGTTTAGCCTGCTCACCTTTGGTGCGGGTTTATCATTTGCCTGGGGTGCGCTGTGCTTCACGGTGTTCTGCGTATTTGAACTCGTTTTGTTCATTGGCAAGAAGCGATTGGTATCAAGGGTAATCCGGTCTCGCTGTCACCGTTGTCCAGGTTGCTTTTACGATCTTTCAAAGCGACCGAGCGGGCAGGTCATATGCCCGGAATGCGGAATCAATGCGTCCCGCCGCGAATGCGTCCGGCTCTGGTGCAAACTCCTGCGATCAAGAATCTGATCAAGGTCCGCTTTCCGGTTCTCACCTCCCATAAAAACCCGCGCTCCCCTCAAGTCCCATAGGAATGGTTCCGATACCCAATCTGTACCATCCTTAAAGGACCATCATGAGCGTGCAAACCGCTACAACCCAGCTGACCCGCAAAGCTCCCGTCGAGTTCGAGTCCAATCAGGGACTCCGCACCGACACGCTGATGCTGCGTCCGCTTGGGTATGCGGATGAAGCCGTGTTTGTCGAGGCGATCAACCGCTCGCGCATGCCGCTCCGCAGATGGATCCCGCTGGAGTCCAAAGGTCAATCCACGCGCGACTACTTCCACGCGCAGGTCCACAAAGCACTCGAAGGCGACAAGAATAAAACCGCGTGCCGAAGGGCGATTTTCCTCAACGACAACACCTTCGTGGGAATGGTCAACCTCATCAAGATCGAGCGAGGGATGGAGTGGACCGCCGAGGTCAACTACTGGATCGACAGCAAGCACGCCGGCAAAGGACTCGCGACCAAAGCACTCCAAGCGATGCTCGACCACGCGTTCGCCGACATGCCGATCGGTCTCGGACTCCACCAGGTCCGCGCCCAGATCTGTCTGGACAATCCAAGCTCCGTCCGTGTCGCCGAGAAGCTTGGCTTCCAGAACTCAGGTCACAAAGACCTCCTCGAGATCAACGATGCACTCATTATGCATCACGAGTTCACGCGGTCCGCGTAGCCAATCACTACCCAAACAAATCAAAGCAAATCCGAGCAAGTACTCGGAGAATTTTCGATTTTTCAGCGCCCCCAAGACAGCAATTCCACACACGGCGAGCTCATAGACGAAACGGATTTTTTAATCTTATAAACACTTAAATTACAGTAGTTTACAATATTAATGGGGTTCTCGACTCTGAACATAAAATCGACCGTTTGGCCCATGGTCGGGTGCGTTCAATTTGCCTTTCACATGATGCCGCATACGGTCTAGGTTCGCATTCATTTCCAAAAATGGGAGCCCAAGACCAATGCCGACAGCCAACTACGACTCGCGCACCCTGTCCATCGACGGCAAACGAATCTGGATCGTCTCCGGATCCATGCACTTCCAGCGCATCCCCCACGAACTCTGGGAAGACCGCATCCGCGCCGCCAAAGCCGCGGGCGTCAACACCATCGAGACCCCGATCTTCTGGAACCTCATTGAGCCGCGTCCAGGATCCTACAACTTCAAAGACAACAACGACATCAAGCACTTCCTCTCGCTGCTCGCCAAGCACGAGATGTACGCGATCATCCGTCCCGGCCCGTTCGTCGGCGCCGGATGGGACCTCGGCGGTCTCCCCGCTTGGCTCCTGAATATCCCAGAGGTCAAGCTCCGCGCCCCGAACCAACCTTTCCTCGAAGCCGTGGGCAAGTACTTCAATGCACTCGCCAAGCAGATCAAGTCCATGCAAGCGTCCGTCACCAAAGGCGGCCCGCTCATCATGATCCAGAACGAGTCCCAGTGGGACTGCGACGATCAGCAAGCAGCACCAAAGTATCTCGGAGAGCTCGCACGCTACCTCCGAGAAGCCGGATTCGCGGTCCCCAAGATCAACGCCAACAACCTCTGGCAAGGTGTCGAGGGCGAGATCGATGGGTGGACTGGTGAAGGCGACATGTTCGCGATCATGCGCCAGCTCAAAGCCGTGCGCCCAGACCAGCCCACCATCGTCATCGACTACGGCCCGCTCCGTCGTCCGATCTTCGGACAAGAACTCGAAGCACCGGTCGATGGATACACCCTCCAGCGCCAGCTTGGAGAGATCATGTCCGCAGGAGGTCAGTTCAACCTCGCGAACTTCATGTCCGGCACCTCCTTCGGATTTTGGGCCGGACAAGCTTCCGCCGGAGAACCCTGCGCCTATGCACCTACCTACGACGCCGGCGCGCTCATCGACGAGCACGGCCGCATGACCAACGAGATGGGACCAGTGCGTCGCCTGCTGACCTTTGGATCTTCGTTTGCCAATGTGCTGGCGCACACCGAGAACAACACCCCGCCGGTCGTTATCGATCCAGTCGTCGATGAGGACGCGATCCAGGGGCACATCGTCAACCAGATGAACGGCTCTCAAGGGAACATCATCTTCATCTTCTCTCCGCCGAAGGCCAAAGCCGGAACCATCAACCTCCTGCTCTCAGACGGATCTTCACTCCCAGTGCGATTGGGGTCCCAACGCGTCCACTGGTGCTTGACCGATTACAACATCTCCTCAAAGCACACGCTTGATTACACCTCACTCTGTGCTCTGAGCACCACTGAAGACATGCTCGTGCTCTTCGGACCCGGCGGGGGGATCGGCGAAGTCTCCATCAACGCATCACCACTCGTTGTCGAGGTTCCGAAGGGGCGCAAGCCGGTTGCAGTGATGCATGAGGGGATCTGTGTTGTCGTTGTTTCCGAAGATGTTATCGACGAAACATTCATGCAAGGCTCCGAAGTCTTCGTCGGTGTGCAAGGGCTCACAGCAGATGGAGAACCAATCCCATCCGCAAACGGCAAGACGCACACTCACATCACACCTGACGGAAACGCGAAGACCACAACCACGAAGTACCAAGATCGTGATCCTGGAGAGAAAGCACCAAAGATCGCTCTGGGGAACTGGGAGTGCGCCCAAACCGAACTCCATATCGATGGTTCGAGCCCTCGCTACGCCGTGATCCCAGGTCCAGCAGACCTTTCAGAGCTTGGAACACCATACGGCTACGGATGGTACAAAATCGAAGTGAAATCACTTCCGAATGGAAAGGTCAACTTCGTCGCTCCGAGTTCAAGTGATCGTATCCAGTTCTTCCTCGACGGCGATCCGATCGGCATGATCGGAGCAGGACCAGGCGCTTCCGATTCGATCGCACTACAACTCAAAGCAGGATCCGATAGTTTGATCGCACTCGCGGACAACACCGGAAGGATCTCCGGCGGTTCGGTCATGGACGAGAACAAAGGTCTCTACGGGCACCTCGTTGAGAACACCCCGTTCAAGCCTGGGAAGCCAAAGGTTGTCACTGGTGATCCGATCGATGTCCTTGGATATTCGACTCCAGTCTTCGGTGTGCGTGAAGGAGAAACCACACACCACAACCGACTGCAGTGGTCCTTCAAGCACCTCAAAAAGTCTTCGATCTATTTGGAGATCCCGCCGATCAACGCACGCGTGATCGTCGTACTCAACGAAGAACCAATCAAGCTGATCGGCGCGATGCGCCGCACAACGATCGAACTTGACGATGAAGCCACCAAGCGAGGCAACAATGTCCTTGAGCTGGCGCTGCATCTGGATTCGCCGAGCCATGAACTCGCTGATGAACTGTCCGAGGAGATCCTCGCAACGCTTACAAAGCAAGTGAAGTTCATCGAAGGTGCCAATGTCATTTCTGAGAAATGCGAATGGTCCTTCGCCAAATGGGAAGCACCTGCAGAGATCGACTTTGACTTAGTCAGCAAGTCCAAGCTTTCATCAACTGGGAAGCCGAGCTGGTGGAAGACCACCTTCCAAGCTCCAGAGATGGATCTCGCGATCTCGCTCGACACGAGCGGGCTCACCAAGGGTCAGGTGTACATCAACGGCAACGCGTTGGGGCGCTACTTCACTTCGACTGCAGACGGCAAGTCAGTGGAGCCAACGCTCAATCTCGCGATTCCTTCATGCTGGATCAACGAAGACTCAAACAACGAGTTATTGATCTTCGATGAGCACGGCGCCTCACCCGCAAAGGTGAAACTGATTGTTGAAAGGCGTTAAGCTTATTCGTCAGGTTGACCAAGCGCTTCAAACTCTGATGTGAGTTCTTCGTGCAGTTTCTGAGCCGCACGGAGTTCTCGCATGGCGATATCAAGCTTTTCTTTTAGTGACTGATCATCAGGACGCTCCAAGATCTGCTTGTCGTATTCCTTGATTCCGCCTTTGAGGAGTTTGAGCCGAAGATCAGCAATGTGGAGCTCTTGTGAAAGCTCTCTACGACGCGCTTGAGTGATCGCATCTTCCGCGTTGTCTTTGTTGGACCAAGGCTCGATGCGCCCTCGCGTGACTGTTCCTGTGCCGACATGCACATCACGCCCAGCTCCCGCGTTGACCACTCTGGGAGATCGCCGAGCGTTGCTCGCGCGGAACGCGCCAGGCTCTTCCGGATATCCCGCGTCAACCCAGTCGTCGACACTGATCCCGCTGCCAATGCTCTGACTCTCAGGGAGCACGATCCCTTGTCGATTCCAGCGGAGTCGGATCGCACGCTCCGCGATATGAGGGCTGATTGGAGCCGCGCCTCGAAGGAACTTGTACGACCCCAGCGGCAGGTCCAGATCGAGCACCCGCTCCCCTCGCTCGATGACGACATTCATCGTCTCGCCCGGATCATGACTCAGGATCATCGCGCGCAGATCGTCTGATTGCATCAGCGGCTGTCCATCGGCACGAACAATCAAATCCCCTGGGACCAGCATCGCCGCAGCGGGAAACTGGTCGACTTCTTGCACAACTGTCCGGATCTCAACCCCACCATCACGCATCGCGCCGAATCCGACGCCGAGCCCTGCTTTGGTCGTGCGTCCGAACAGTTCTCTGGATGCGATCCACAAGCGATGCCTCGCTTCTTCTGAAAGATCGTCACGCTCAAGCATCGGTGCAATCATGCTCAGCTCGAATCCCTCGTTCGGATTCCCGATCATCTGTGTCGATTGTTCGCGAACGATCCACGAAGGGTCATCCAGCAGCGAAACCAGCTGCGACAATCGTTGCTCAGATCGCTGGACATCCTGCGCGTGCGAGACAGCAGCAATCACAGTCAATCCAAGAACCGCAGAGATGAGATGCTTCCGGATCATCGCTCTATCGTACCTCAAAGGCCAAACAGCCACACAGATGTATACGGCTCAGTCGCGAACAGGTTCAACTCGACTCCAGCGCCCGCACGATGGTGGGGGATTGCTCATCGAGCCAGCACGCTTTTTTGATCGCCGCATTGACGAGTGGACCTTGTCTCCCGACCGTGCCTCCAGCGAGTGCTTCGTCGATAAGCACCGCAGGGAGCAGTGAACCGATGAGTCTCGGATTGGGTGAGGTCCCGAACTGCTCGATATACCCCTTCCAGACCGCGAGCAGATGCTCCATGCTCGCGTCCTCAGGGATCTGATCAACACTGGGTCGTTTCATCGAAAGGTACACGAGCGCCTGCGCCAGTTCCCGATCCCGCGAGCCGAGTCGGCAGTTGTCAAAGTCACAGATCGCGATGATCTCAGGGCCATCGAAGATCATGTTCCCAGGATGCCAATCACCGTGGACGATCGCCGAGGCGCGAGCGTTGGCGCGATGCGCATCAAGCCCGTACTCCAGGATCTTCTTGAGTCGATCAAATGAGGACGATTCAAGCTCGATCCCATCGACGCGCTTCGGATTGACCACGCTCGTCTCGACCGTCGCTTCAAAGCTCGTGTTGATCTGATCCATCGCTTTGTGCAGTTCACCAAGCAGCATCCCCGCTTGGCGCGCATGCTCGACGGATTGATCAAACATGGTTCCCTCAATGAACACAAACAGCTCGTAGGTCTTGTCCCCGATCTGACACATCGAGTTGTTGTCAGCATTGGTCCCAATCAGCGGAGGGATACAAACCCCAAGACCCAAACACCCCAGTATGACCTCATGCGCAAACCCAACGAGCGATGCGTGCTCCAGTCCCGGAGCGCGACGCTTGAGCAGCAGCTTCCCGCGTTCGCTCTCGATGACCGCTTTGGGCGCTTCGGATGATCCCGCGATCATTTCGCGGATGCTCTGCACCTTCCCGATCGGATAGTGTGACAACACCTCAAGGATCTCGTCGCGTGCAAAGCTCGCGCGTCCCTGAGTGCTCTGGGGTGGGGGACTTGGATTGGTTGTGCCTGCAGGTGTGTGCAAACGCGTTACTCCGCGTTCTGGACTTGCTCTTTGATCCGATCGATCGCGCCCTTGATCTCAACAATCAATCGGCTCATCGTCGCGTCGGGACTCTTGGATGCGATCGTGTTTGCTTCGCGGAGCAGTTCTTGTGCGAGGAAGTCCATCGTACGGCCGATCGGACGCTCGTCCTCGTTTTGTAGCAGTTCGCCAAAGTGCACGAGATGTTCCGACAGACGAGCGATTTCTTCCGCAATATCCGTCTTCTCCGCGTACACCGCGATCTCACGCACGACTTCCACGGCATCCGCTTGCACATCAAACTCGCTCATGAGCGATTCCATGCGCGCCTTGAGCCGCTTCTCATAATCACTGGTCACATTGGGTGCGATCTTCTCGATCTCCTTCAGACGCGTCCCGATGTACTCCAGATGACTGGTCAGATCGCTCTTGAGCGCCGATCCCTCGCGACTACGCATAGAGACCAAGTGCTCCAGCGCCAGCTCCACAAGCGGACGGAGCGCCTTGCGTGCGGATTGCAATCGTGATTCTTCATCGCCCGGAGGTTGAAGCACTCCTGGGAGGTTCATGAGTTGCTCAACCCCGATGTCGTCGATCGAGCAACCCTTCGCGTCCGCGATCTGCTGAGCGTATGAACGCAGCGCCGCTTGATTGACTGTGAACGCCGCCTTCTCGTTCTGTTCCGAAACACTGATGGTCAGAACCACCGATCCACGGGCGATCGCGGCCCGGATCATCTGCTCAAGCTCAGGTTCAAGCGATTGCAGACGCTCAGGAACTCGGACACTCGTCTTGAGGAACTTGTTATTGACGCTGCGTACTTCGACGCTGTAGACCGTTCCTCCATCGTTACCCGATGCGTCGCCAAAGCCTGTCATACTGCGGATCAAGTGCGTGCTCCTGTCATGCTCAGCACATCAGCATATCGGATCAAAGAATGCTTTGCTCAGTGATATAGTCTCTTATCGAGGATTCCAGATCACTCGTCGGATTCAGGGGTCCCAGTCGGATCTGTGACTTCTCCAGTCAGATCATCGACCACTTCTTCCGCTTGATCCAGAGCTTCTTCGCCTGTGTCCTCAATCACATCCAATGCCGATGGATCAGCATCTGGATCAATCGCTTCAGAATCGTCGACTGGGATGGGTTCGGTCGTCGCCGGTGCCGCGATCGTTGGTTGCTCAGCTGTTGCCTCAGGAGGACGCGTCACGAAGTTCAATATCACAGCAAAGGTAATAAAGAGCACAAAGATCGCGATGGTCCCGCCCGTGAGCACATCGCCCGTCTTGGTGCCGAACGCGGTCTGTCCCGCGCCGCCACCACCACCGCCCCCGCCGGCGCCGAACGCACCACCCAGACCGCCGCCTTGTGGACGCTGGATGAGCACGATCAGGATCATCACGATCGAGATCAGCAAGAACAATCCCACGAGCAGATTGATCACAATGGGGTTCACCTGCGCAAGCGTCATGGACGCTGAAGCGAGACTCATAGATTCATTGGTCAGGATATCGAGTGTCATAAGTCGTGGGATCTCCATCAGCACACACCGATTCATTGGGATTTTACACCCCAAGCATGCAGGGCAGCAACTCTAGGCAGCCACACACCTTGAAACCGATTCTCGAACCTATTCGCTCCCCCAATCGGAGCACAGAATCATCCAAATTAGACGCTCAGGAGCCCACAAGCGATCCTTGAGCGGCTTCGATGATCGCACAGAAGTCTTCAGCTTTGAGACTTGCACCCCCGATCAATCCGCCGTCCACATCGCTCATCGCCATGAGTTCCGCCGCATTCCCAGGCTTCATCGATCCGCCGTAGATGATCCGGATCTCTTGGGCCGCTGAATCGGAGTACATCGACGCGATCAACGCTCGGATCTTCGCGTGAGCGTCCTGAGCATCCTCAGGGGTCGCTGTTTTCCCAGTCCCGATCGCCCAGACCGGCTCATACGCGATCACCACGCGAGCAAGCTGCTCCTCGCTCACCCCATCAAGACCCGCACGCACTTGGCGCTCATTCACAGCATCCGTCTGTCCTGATTCACGCTCCTCGAGCTGCTCTCCGATGCACAGCACCGCTGTGAGTCCCGCTTCCAGAGCCCGCTTGGTCTTTGCGTTGACCAGCTCGTCGCTCTCTCCGATCACATGACGCCGTTCTGAGTGTCCTGTGAGCACTGCTGAGACGCCGCAGTCTTTGAGCATGCTTGTGGAGACCTCGCCCGTGAACGCCCCGTTCTCTGAGTGCCAGAGGTCCTGAGCACCCAGAGAGATCGGTCCGTTGAGCTGCTGTCCGATCCCCATGAGGTACGGAAACGGCGGAAATACCGCGATATCCACGGATCCCGCCTTCATCGTCGAATGGATCGAGTCGATAAGAGTCAGTCCTTCCGCCGCGTTGGTGTTCATCTTCCAGTTGCCGCCGACATAGGGAGTTCTTTGAGTGCTCATTGGTGCTCGCTCGTGTTTCTGGTGTTTTAAGTTCGATTTTATAGGACACAATCAATCTGACATTCAATCAGACTAGCCTGAAATAGGGGTTCATTTCCCTACCAAACTAGTGTAGTCTGTTGATGCATTTGAATCGTCTGACTTTCGTGGGAGTGTGAGTCATGATCAGCCAAGCGTCGCAAGCAACCGATTACGACATCGTCATCATCGGAGGTGGTCCATCCGGGACCACCCTCGCATCCATCGTCAAAAAATACAACCCTGACCTCTCGATTCTCATCCTTGAGAAAGAGAAGTTCCCAAGAGAGCATGTAGGAGAGTCGCAGCTCCCAGGAATTTCACAGATCCTCGACGAGATGGAAGTCTGGGACAAGATCGAAGAAGCAAACTTCCCGATCA